CTGAAAGTGTGGACACAGGTCCACCCTTGTACATGAATGTTCATAGCAGCATTATTCCTAACAACCAAAGGTGGACGCAACCCAAACGTCCATCAACTGATGAATGGCTAAACAAAATGTACTGATAGTATATCCATACAATGGAACACTACTGGCCAATAAAAATGAATGAAATACTGACACGGGCTACAACATGGATGAACCTTATAAACATTATGCTAAGTGAAAGGAGCCAGATACAAGAGATCACAGATTGTATGATTCCATTCGCATGCAACGTCCAGAAGAGGCAAATACTTAGAGACAAAAATCAGGTTAGCGGTTTCCAGGGACTACGGACAAGGGAAAATGAGGAGACTGCTAATGATGTGGAGTTTCTTTTTAGGGTGATGAAAGCATTCTAAAATTAGACCATTATGATGGTTGCACAGCTCTGTAAATATACTAAAAACCACCACACGGTACACTTTAAAAGGATAAATTTTAGGTATATGTGAATTGTATCTCAATAAGGTTGTCATTTTTTTAAAAGGTAACTGACAGCTTAAGCAAAAGTACAATAACAACAATGTATGTTGGGATTTATAACATATGTAGAAGCAAAATGGATGTTAATAATGCAGTGAGGCCAGATATGGAGAAACGGAGCTACTGTAAGCTTCTTATACTATAAATAAAGTGGTACAGTATCACACGAAGGTAGACCATAATAAGTTAAAAATGTAGAATATAAAAACTAAAACAAGAATTAAAATTACAAAACACAAGGAATTATAGTCAATAAACCACAAATGAAATAAAACTGAATCACAAAAAACAATCAAAAAGAAGTCGGGGAAAAAAAGGAGAAAGGAAACAAAAAACAGATAGGACAAATAGGAAATAACAGATAGGACAAATACAGATAGGACAAATAGGGATGGCAGACTTAAATCTCAGCCTATTAATAGTCACATTAAAGTACATAGTCTAAACGTCCTAATGAAAAGGTAGAGATTGTTGATTGGATAAAAAAATAAAACCCAACTATGCTGCCTACAAGAAACACATTTTAAATACAAATGCATAAATAGGTTAAAAGGAGAAGGAAGAAAATGACATACCATGCTAACACTAATTGAAAGAGCTGGAGTGACTATATTAATATCAGACAAAGTAGACTTCAAAGCAATGAATCTTTCTAGGAATAAAGAAGGTATTATTTGTAATAATAAGGGAATCAATTCATCAATAATGAATAACAATACTAAATGTTTACATATCTAATGATGCGGCCTTATGATTCATTAAAAACAAACTGATAAAACTACAAAGAGAAATAAACAAATCTACAATTATAGCCAAAAATTTCAGTACTCCTCTATGTAATTAATAGAAAAACATAAACAGAGGACCTGAATAACACTATGAACCAACTTGACCTAATAGATATTTATAGACTACTCCATCCAACAATAGCAGAATACACGTTCTTCCCAAAAACTAACAATATTTACCAAGAAGGACCATATCTGGGGCTGTAAAACAAGTCTCGTTAAATTGAAATGGATTCAAGTCATACAAAATACATTCTCTGACCACAACAGAATAACTTAATAACCAAAAGATATCTTGGAAAATCTCCAAGCATTTGGAAACTAAATAACATTTTTCATAACCCACAGGAGATAAAAAGGGGGGGGGGGAATTACTTTGAGTTGAACAAAAATGAAAATACAACATGCCAAAATTTGTGGGACACCACAAAGCAGTGCTTAAGGGGAAGTTTATAGTAATAAATGCCTATAATAGATAAGAAGAAAAGTCTGAAATCAGTGTCCTCTACTTCCACCTGAAGACAGAAAAAGAAGTGCAAATTAAAACCAAAGTAAATAGAAAAAAGGAAATAATAAAAATCAGAACAGGATCAGAGATAGAGAAAACAGAAAAACAACAGAAGAAAATCAATGAAATCAAAAGTTGGTTCTCTGAGAAAATCCATAAAATTGTTAAAACTCTAACCGAATTGATCAGGGAAAAAAAGAGAAGACGCAAATTACCAATATCAGGAATGAGAGAGGTGACATCATTACATGTCCTACAGATACTAAATGGATAACAAGGGAAAATTATGAACAACTTTATGCCAATGTATTTGACAAAGCTCACTCAAGAAGAAACAGATAATGTGACTATCCCAAAATATATGAAGGAAATTGATTTTGTAGTTAAAAATCCTTCAAACAAAGAAAATACCAGGCCTAGACAGCTTCACTGGTAAATTCTAACCAACATTAAAGGAAAAAATAATACCAATTCTTCACAAGAATTCTGTGGAGTAGGAATACTTCCAAACTCATTCTATGAGGCTTGCATTACCGTAACACCAAAACAGACAACTACAAGAAAATAAAATTTAACAAATTAATACCGTTTATGAACATAAATGCAAAAATTCAAAGCAAAATTTTGTAACTTGCATAAAACACTATACAAAAAGAATAATACATCATGGTCACATGTGTTTTCCCCCCCCCAGGATTTCTAGGTTGTTATAACATCTGAACACCAGCCAATATAATTCAAACTAAAAAAGAAAAATTATATGATCATCTCAATAGGTACAGAAAAAGCATTTGTTAAAATTCAATGTCTATTCCTGATTTTTTTTTCCAAAGAAACTCTCAACAAACTGGTAAAAGAAAGGAACTTTCTTAACCTAATAAAAGGCATCTATGAAAAACCTACAGCTTACATCATACTAAATGGTAAAGACTGAATGCTTTCCCTCTAAGTTAAGGAATTAGATAAAGATGTCTGCTCCCACCACTTCCATTAAGCATTGTACTGAAGATTCTGGCTAGTATCAGTACAATTTAAGACAAAAATAAAGGCATCCAGCTAGGAAAGGAAAAAGTGAAACTGTCTTTATAGGTGACATGATATGTAAAAAGTCTAATGGAATCGACCCAAAAAAAGTTACTCAAGTAAATAAGTCAGTAAATAAGGTTGAAGGATACAAGATAAGTATCCTTATCTAAGTACCCTGGAAAAAGTCAATTATATTTCCAATTACTAGCAATAAACAATCCGAAATTGACATTTTTTTCACTTTAAATGTTCAAAATTGAAATTTAAAATTTTCTGAAATACCATTTCAATAGCATCAAAAAGTATGAAATACTTTCAAAAAGATGTGCAGGATCTGAAGCTGAAATTTACAAAACACTGCTGAGAGAAATTAAAGAAGACCTAAGTAAATAGAACACCTTGTTCATGAGTCAGGAGACAATATTGTGAAGACACCAATTCTCTTAAAATTTGATGTGATTCCAGGGAAAATCTCAGCAGGCATTTTATAGAACCTAGGATAGCCAAAACTACTTTGAAGAAGAACAACAGAATCGGAGGGCTAACATTCTTGACTTCAAGAGTTATTACAAAGCTACAGTAATCAACATAGTGTGGTATTGGCCTTACAATAGGCAAATGGGATCAATGGAATAAAACAGCCCAGAAAGGGACCCACTAGTATGTGGATAACTGGTTTTTACAAGGTGCAAAGGCAACTCAGTGGGAAAAGGATAGTCGTTTCTAGAAATGGTGCTGGAATGGCTTGATAGCCACGAGGAAAAAAAAATAAACGTCGATCTATACCTCGTGCCATATACAAAAATCAACTCAAAATGTATCAAAGATGTAAACGTAATGTGTAAAAACTAAATGTAAAAACTAAAACTTTAAAATAGCTGGAAGAAAAGAGGAGAAAACCTTTGTGACCTTGGTTTAGGCAAAGATTTCTCAGCTACAACACCAAAGGCACAATTCATAAAAGAAAAACTTCTAAATTGGACCTCAACAGAGTTAAAATTTTTTGTTCTTCAAAAGACACTGTTAAGAAAACAAAAACACAAACCACAGACTGAGAGAGAATATTGCAAGCGATGATGAACTTCATCTGTGCTTGTATACAGAATTTCTGAAGAACTCTCAAACAGATAAACCAAGAGAAAAAATAGGCAAAAGATTTGGATACTTCACCAAAGATTATATATAAATATAAGGAAAGCAAATAAACACAGGCAAAGATTTTCAGCATCATTAGTCATTAAGGGAATGCAAATTACAACAGCAATGAGATACCGACATACATATTAGGAGAGCTAAAGTTAAAGAGATTGACCAAACCAAATGCTGATGAGGACGAGGAGGAACTGGAACGCTCACATACTGCTGGTGGGAATGTAAAATGGCACAACCACTTTGGAAAACAGTGAGTTAAACAAACATCTACCAAATGATTTAGCCACTATATTCCTACATATTCACCCCAGAGAAAACATATGTCTATACAAAGATCTGTAAACAAATGTTCATAGCAGCTTTATTTGTAACAGCCAGAACTGGAAACAACCCAAATGCCCATCAAGGGGTGAATGGATAAATAGTGGTCTATCCATACAATGAAATCCTGCTCAGTAATAATAACAAGGAATAAACTACTGATAACCTGCAACATGGATATAATTTGAAATAATTACGTGAAAGGAGGCAGACAAAAAAGAGCACATACAATATGATTCCATTTATATAAGTCTCTAGAAAACGCAAACTAACGCATAATGACAGAAAGTGCATCAGTTGTTGCCTGGGGATGGGAGTGGGAAGAGGGAGGGGTTTACAGAAGGGAAAGAAGAAAGCTTTGGGAGTGATGGAGATGTTCGTTATCTGGATTGTGGTGATGGTTTCATGGGTGAATACATATGTCAAAACATATCCAAATGTATATTGCATATTCTGAATATAGGAAGTTTATTGTACGTCAGTTATACCTCAATAAAGCTCAATAATCAGCTCCGTAAACCTGTTTTTAAAAAATTTTAAAGGCATAAGCAACATCCCAAATCAGTGTGCAATTCAACCTGCCACAGTATAAATAAAGTAAAATACAATATTATGTAGGGAAGAAGTCGCCAGGAAGTTAAAGATACGCCTGGTCTGAGAATTCCCGAGATACCCACCTCTGCTGCCTGCTTTATTAACCTTCCCGCACTCCCAGGCTCCGGAGCTGAATTCCACTCTGCTATCTTCTGGTTGGGTGTGGACTCCAAGGGCTTCTCCCTAAATGAATTTTGTGATTATACAGTTAATAAACAAAACACTTTTTCACAATTATTGGAAATTCTGTATTACTTCAGATTTACGATTTTAAGATATCTTTTAGTTTTCAGATTATAGGAAACATCCCCCCCCACCAAGCTTGTTTCTGTGATGCCATTTGCTGTCATACATTTGCTGTTTTTTGCTTTTCAGACAATTGTTTAAAATGCTAATGATAGCAATGAGTTGCTTTCAGGGGCCTTCCCCCCCTCCTCTGATAATCTTTTTTTTTTTTAATATTTATCAAAGTGATACTTGGACATAGCTTTTTTAAAAATGGTAACTGTACATAATGACTTATATGGAAATGCAACAGGCCTCTGCTCTTTCCCTTCCCCTCCCAGTCCTCCTGGCCAGAGGCAAGCCCCTGGAACTCCTGAGCTGTTTCTTCCAATAATTAGCTCCATGTTTCTGAGAAATCTTGTTGACAACACTGTAACTGCAAGTAATGTGAAAGAAATCAGTATATTTTGTTCCTAGAAACAAAATGTTACAGGAGAGGACTGAAACTAAAGGTAGGAGTATGCTTTTGGGGTAGAAAAGTAGAGTGAAATATATGGGGGCCAAAAAGACCTGGGTTTGAATCCTGGCTCTGATATGTGCTGTTCAACCTTGAGCTAGTAAACTAGTCTGTCTGAACCTCAGTTTGATTGTCTATAAAATAGAGATGCTAATATTTTTCTCGCAGAGTTGTCAAGAGGGTTAAATGAGAAAGCATATGTACACATCTAATACATTACCAACCCCCAAATGGCATTTTCTTTACCTTCCCCAAATTTTAACTCTTCTCCAAAAGCACAGTATATGGGAGCGGGGGAGTGGGGGAACCCCTCATTTTGCATATTGCTCTTCTCCAAACTTTCAGCTCTCGGAATTTTAAATAGAATCAACTATCATGTTTTTAATGAAAGCGAATTGCAGAAATTGGCAAGAAGGTTACATCATTCATTAGTTACTGAGCCCAGCTGGCAAAATATTGTAAGCACTCTTGGAAAGCAATTCAGTTCTCAGGAGTCTGTAGAATGGCCTTGCGCTAGAAACTGCTACAAGGTAGCCTCCCTCCAGCAGGTCCCAGGACTGCCCTCTGGCTGTTATTACCAGGAGCACACCAGCCTTCGTTAGTGGTAGGCTGGTTCACAAAACCAGCTCAGGATTCGTTTTACAAAACTGTCATCAAAGTCGGTTCTTCAAAAGGCTTGTAACCACCCAAAGACCCAGTCCTTACATACGAAGAAAGAATCTTACCCCTGCCGGACGGACGCTGATTCTGCCCTGTTCTAACGTGCCCTGCTGTGGCTGCTTGGGCAAGTGCTGGACCAACTCTTGAGATCCCACAGATTTTTCTAATTCAAGGGGAAAAAAAATGTTATTGAATATTTAAACCACAACTGCCTTCTATAGGGCGTGAAACCCATGAAAGGAGGATTGGAGCGAGCACCTTGACAGCTATGCAGAGGTGGGAGCTCCAGTCTAGAACCAAGCCTGGCACCTGGTTAGCCCTCAATAAACTTTGGGATAAAGGGGGGGTTGTGAGACCATCCTGGAGAGGGCTCAGTTCCTCCGGGAAAGAGAGGCTTTGGAATTCCTGGGTACAGACTCGGGAAGAGGATGCCTCTATCCCAGATGGCAGAATCCTCGGGGCCAAACCCAATGGCAGAAGCTTCTGCGGAGCCAGAGCTGTAGTTATAACTCTACCTGCCCGGCAGCTACCCCGTCTGTCCCATTTCCACCCTAAATACAACAGGAAGGTAAATACTCGAGAGAGTCACTGGACGCCTGGTTCGCTTCGATTACATTAATAACCAACGATCATTCCAAAATATTCACTCATTTCAGTTAACAAGCATTTCGCACAATGAACAAATATCTACGAGAAGGAGAGTTGAAAGAAACCATGGTGACCTTTCTGGGGGTCCAACGGCCTGCTGGGGCCTGGAGAACGACCCCGTAAGGTTCCAGGCCCGGGCGTGGGGGCTTGGTGAGGCGGAGCCCCCCTCCCGCGGCGACCCGACTGGGGCCCAGGCGAAAGTCCAGGAGCAGGCTGGGTGTCATTTCGTCCGTACACTCGCGGTTTCCGAGGCGGCCTGAGGCGGGGCCGGGGGAACCTAGTGAGGAGGCGCCCGCACTCGCGCTCGGCGGCGGGGCTCAGGCCCATCCCGCTGCTGCCGCCCCGCCGGCCCCCGGGCCTCGCTGGGGGAGACGCGCCAGCCCAGTTCCCAGTCGGCGCGGCCCCGGATCGGCAGAGCCGCGGGGTCCGGGACGCTGCTTGCTGGGAGGGCGGAGGGGCGCGGAGTGGGCACGCGGGCGCGCAGCGAACGGCGGGGGCGCGCGGCCAGAGCGCGCGGGGCGAGGGCAGCGCGGGCGTGGTGAGCACGTGTCCGAACACAGCCTGCGCTGATCGGGGCGCTTCAGAAGCCCAGGAACCTGCGCGGGGCCGGGGGGTGGGGGGCGCTTTGAGAGGAAAGGCAGGGAAAGGCGGCGTAGGAGGCGACTGGGGTGGAAAGTAACAGAACAGTTTCTGTAAGACCCAGAGGTGGCATCTGATGTGGCTGGAGAAGCTGAAGGTCCACGGAGCAGACAGAGGAGCGACATCTGGAGATAGGGGTTGAGGCCAAGTTAGGAGGGTTTGGGGAGGTACGCTCAGGAGTTAAAATCTTGGGCGATTCAGACCAGCTCGAGCGATCGATAATCTTTTATATGTTTTTATTAAAATTATACACATAATATGTAATATATATACAAAAGAATCCATGGAATACATGTAGTTATGAAACATGACGATAAAATTACCACCCATGAAAACCCATCCTACTAAGAACCGCAACACACCTAGCACAGAGGCTCCTCCTACCTGTGTGTTCTTCCCTTATCCCATCTCCCAGCCCTACCCTCACCTCCACCCCCATTCCCCAGAGAGGTCACCTCTCTCCAGTCTATCATGCTCTTGCTTTTTAAAACTTTTAAAAAATCTCTTCTTTGTAGTCCTAACACGTTGTTTCGTTTTGCTTATTTGAAGCTTGTAATAATCGTATCACACACAGAAAAAAAAATCGTATCACGCTGTATTATCTTCTGCAATCCGCTTCTTTTAAAGTTGTCTCTAGGGCTTCCCTGGTGGCGCAGTGGTTGAGAGTCCGCCTGCCGATGCAGGGGACGCGGGATCGTACCCTGGTCCGGGAAGATCCCACATGCCGCGGAGCGGCTGGGCCCGTGAGCCATGGCCGCTGAGCCTGCGTGTCCAGAGCCTGTGCTCCGCAACGGGAGAGGCCACAACAGTGAGAAGCCCGCGTACCGCAAAAAAAAAAAAAAAAATTGTCTCTATAACACATACACACACATTGCTGTACAGATCTGTAATTTGTTTCCCGTGCTGGAAAATATTCCATTATGTGAATAGACCACATTTTATTGATATGGTGATAAAACCACTTGGTTTTGTTCTGTTTTGTTTTCTAATTTGGATTTAGAAAACTATTGAAAAGAACCCAAATTGTATCCTGGTGTATGCATGCAAGAGAGTCTATAGGATTTAACAGCTAAGAAGGTATGAAAATGTTCCACTTTAGAATAGAACACTAAAACGTTTTCCCAATTGGTGGTACCAATTTCACTTCCACCAGCAATGTGTAAGAATTCTTGTTGATTTACATCTTCACCAACACTTAGTACTATCTTACTTAATTTTTCCAGGTGAGTGGATGTAAAATAGTACTTCACTGAAATTTTAATTTGCATTTAACTGATCGCTAATAAGATTGAGACCTTTACATGTATTTACTAGTCATTTAGACTTCCTCTTTTAAAAAGTGCCTGTTCGTGTCTTTTGCCCATTTTTCTTTGGAGTTGCTTTCTTACTGATTTGTAGGAGCTGTTTATGTGTCCTCAATACTCATCTTTAGTCGGTTGTATTTGTTTACACGTATTTTCTTCCAGTTCCTGGCTTGTCTCTTCACTCTCTTTATGAAGTCTTTCGATGAAGAGAAATTATGGACTTTAAAGAAATAGAATTTACCAATTCTTTCTTTTGTGGTCAGCTCTCTGTGTCTTTTCATGAAGTCCTTCCTTGCCCTGCAGTCAGAAGAATATTCTCCTGTATTTTCTTGTAAAAGTTTTTAAATGTTGTCTTTTTCGTTTAATCAACCTGGAGTTGATTTTCGTGTATGTGTGAGGCAGAGATCCAATCTGATTTTTCCCTATATGAATAATCATTTATGTCAGCATCACTTACTGATAGTTTCTCCTTCCCCCCCTCCGTGATTAGCAAGACCACCTCCGTCACGTGTCAGGTTTTCATGGACGAGCAGAACGTTGCTGGCTCTATTCCACCCCACTGGCAAATGTGTCTGTCTTTGTGCTACTATCATACAACCTTTATTACTATACCTTTATGATAAATCTTAATATACGGATATCTTCAGATTCCCCCTCCTTATTCTTCCTCAGGAGTTTCTTGACTCTTCTTGAGCTTTTTCCCTTCCATAAATATTTCAGAATTAGCTTGTCAAGGTGCTCAACATACTCTGTTGGCATCTTGACTGACATTACCCTGAATCCATAAATCAATTTGGCAATTTTAACATCTTTACAAAATTGAGTCTTCGATGTATTACGTATTATGTCTCTCTATTTGTTAGGACTCCTTTAATGTATTTCATTGGAGTTTTATAATATTCTTCATACAGATCTGATCTTAGGTGTGTATTACATTTTTCTCTCTATTCATTTGGAAGTTTACACGCTATTCTTTTATTTATTGCCCTTGAAATTTTAACATTCATGTTCAAAGTCTAAAAGTAACCCCCAACTGCAGTAGCTCCCACCACCCCTGCCATTCAGGGTACTGGAGTAGGACGGTGCCCACAGGAGCAGACTGTGCTCCCGCACTTCCAGGCCGTTAAGCCATACATCTCTCCCCAGGTGAATAGTATAAGAGATCAAAAGCTGTGCACTGAGCTTCCCTGGTGGCGCAGTGGTTGAGAGTCCGCCTGCCGATGCACGGGACACGGGTTCGTGCCCCGGTCTGGGAAGATCCCACATGCCGCTGAGCGGCTGGGCCCGTGAGCCATGGCCACTGAGCCTGCGCGTCCGGAGCCTGTGCTCCGCAACGGAAGAGGCCACAACAGTGAGAGGCCCGCGTACTGCAAAAAAAAAAAAAAAAAGCTGTGCACTGATTAAGCTGTGGTTTTGGATTTGGGGTTTTTCGTTCGGTTGATGTTGGTGTTGGTTTGGTTTGGGTTTTTCACTTTTTATTACGAAAATGTTCACACACAAATAAAAATAGAGGAAACAATAATGGGTCTCCATTTACCTTTCACCCAGCTTCTCCAGTCATCAGGACGTGGCCAGTCTTGGTTCGTCTATATCCCCCACCCACTTCCTCTACACCCAGATTATTTTGGAGCACATGGCAGATGCCTTATTCTTTCACCTGTAAATATTTCACTACATATTTCTAAAGGATAAGAAATAAAGATGAACACAATATCATTAGCACATTTTAAAACATTCTAGCAGTTCCATGTCCTCAAATAGGCAATCAATGTTCACATCTCCCTGACTGTTTGTAAGTTGTTTAACTCTTTTCTTTTGAACGAAAATCCAAATAAAACCATAAGTTAGGGACTTCCCTGGTGGTGCAGTGGTTGGGAGCCCGCCTGCCAATGCAGGGGGCGCGGGTTTGAGCCCTGGTCCCGGAGGATACCACGTGCCACGGAGCAGCTTGGCCCGTGTGCCCCAACTACTGAGACTGCGCTCTGAGAGGCCTGCACACCGCAACGAAGAGTAGCACCCGCTCTCCGCAACTAGAGAAAGCCCACACGCAGCAATGAAGACCCAACACAGCCAATAAATAAATCAATAAAAAAAAACACAAAAAACCCATAAGTTAGAACTGGTTGATGTGCCTCATACTTTCTTTTAACTAAAGCAGGAGTCAGCAAGCTACCCACAAACTACCACCCACTGCCCGTTTTTGTGTGGCCTAAGTGCTAAGATTGGCTTTATACATTGTTAAATGGTTTCGAAAATAAAAGAATATTTGTGTCATGTGAAAATTATATGAAATTCAACTTTCATCATCCATAAAGTTTTATTTGAACATAGGCATGCCCATCGTTTACATATTGTCTATGCAACTTTCCCACTACAAGGTCAGGGTCGCATAGTTGCTGTGGCATCTGAGACTTCATGGCCTTCAAAGCCTAAAATATTTACTCTCTGGCCCTTTACAGAAAAAGTTTGCCAACCTCTGGTCTTATGGGTTTCTCCTGCACCTTTTTTTTTTCCCTTTTAATCTTCTAATTGAAGAAACTGGGTCATCGGTCCTGTAAAGCCTCCCAGGGTCTGAATTTTGCTGCTGTTGTTCAAGATGATCGTTTGTGCCCTGTATCCCTGTACGCTGGTGGTGAAGTCTAGAGGCTCAATCAAATTTAGATCAGATGGCTTTCTCTTCAAGAGGATTTCATGAGTGACGATGTGTTCTACCATCAGGAAGTAAATATGTCTGCTTCTCTTTCTTTGTGTGATGTCAACAACCATTGCTGATCAGCGCTAAACAGGGTTGAGTTTCAGTAACCAAAACTGATAGGAACTGCCTGGGATATTATGGGGTCTTCGACCCATCAGAGAAGAGAGCGTCAACATATATGCGCAAAAGCAGTGGTTGGAAAAAAATCAAGCTACTTCAGGTTTTGAGTTGAGATTCCGTAATAAATATATGATCCGCGGGGGAGGGAAGAAGTCCAGTAGGATATACATCAAAGTAACAAGAAGCGTCGTGTTAGCTTACTGAGGTTATGGGTGAGGCTTGTTCTTTGCCCGATTTTATATTTCTAATCAAATGGTTCTATTTCTTTGTGGGGAAAAGGTAAATAAAAAGAAGCTGGCTTTGTCCTATTGGGTCTCCCCTCCAAGTGTACGTCTTCTCTCTCCAATTAGACTGGAAGCTCCCTGAGAGCAATATTGATTGTTGATCCCTTTAACGGGCACAGCACCCAGTTATGAAAAATTGTTGCAGCCACTAAAACTCACTTACAGGGCAGAATAGCACCAAAAGAAATTGAAACTGTTTTCTCAAGAGTATATGAACATGCTTTTAGGCAATAGCATCCATTCCTTCAAAAACACTGACTGGACATCCCTGGTGTCTGGGCTCCATCCAGACTGATTCC